CCCAAGACTCTGAGAATCCCTCACGCGGAACACCGGAGAGGCAGAGACAGGCTGGGGTAACCCGTGCCAGTATGAAGTGAACAATCTTTCAGGGTTTCTGCCAACAGTAGAACCCGTCAGCTGCCGTCGATAGAGCCTCAAAACCCCGGAGATATCCTCCGTCATTCCAGAACGCCAGGAAGAACAGACACAGAAGTCTGGGGTTACCAGCCACCCCTTATTAGAAAGCTGCATATTCGTGGTTTGGAGCTGCAGCAACTGAGATCTTCCCAGGGAATACAGCTGCACAGAATCCTGGACAGGATGCCACAGACACACACAGACACACAGTAAAACAGGGACCCCCCCAGAGAAAACAACACGCAGACTATGGGGGGGGAGAACATGCAAACTCCACACAGATAGCACCCCAGGTCCGGAACTGAACCCCTGACCCCAGCGCTGCAAGGCAGCAATGTCACGTACTAAGAACATGCACACTCCACGCAGAAGGATCCAATTCAGAACTGGAACCAGGCCCCGAGAGCTGCGAGACAACACTGCTAACTCTCATGCCTCCATGCCTGCTGATAAATAGTTACCATTTTTTAAGCGCTTTATTTGTCAGGCTTAAATACGCCCCCGAATCAGAAATTAAGCTCTTTGCAAAAAAAAAGGCCCATTAACAGAGTCTAATAACAGCGACAGCCGAGGTGCCCCGTTATGAAATGAGACGTTTAGTCCCCTCCAGTGCACACTGAAAACAAGGAGCGAAGGCAGAGACCATGAGCATCTCTCTTAAACCGTTTTCGCAGCTGCGCAGTTCAGTTTGTGAAAACAGCTACTCGTTCAAATTCTCGGAAACCTCCAAGCTTTTCAGACCTGGAAACAAGTTTCGCAGAGCTGAAAACACAGCAGCTCGCGAGTGTAACAATGGGCTGGACTGAGCCGTTAAAAAAGCCGAGTAGGAACAGGAGAAAGGGTTATTTCCTGTGCGCGCTGCTGTTTCACGCTTTTTCAAACGAAACGGGGTGGGGAGATCGGGGGGAGACAGCTTAAAAAGTCCCTTCTGCTTCCCTGGAAGGGGCAACACACACCCACACCCCCACACCCCACCTCCACAGCTGTACTCAGAAGATCTACATGCAGATCAAGGGGACAGGAATGTAAGCAGAGAGTTCCGTGTCTCCGCTGTTTCTCAAGCTGGAGGAGGCCAGTTTTCCCAGAAGCCAATTCACCCACCCTGTTCTTCGGGCACTGGGGGGACACCCCAATGCGAACACGGGGAGAACATGCAAACTCCACCCAGACAGCAGCCCAGGAACTGAACCCAAAGCCCACCCGTGCCATGCGGACCACCGCAATACAGCGCCGCCCCCCAGTCACCGAACTTCAGCGCTCCCTAAGGGGGATTCGTCTCGCACGTCAAGAGCTCATAAACGTATGACGCACAAATACAACGGTAACACAACGGTACAAAACCACAACAGCAAAAACAGCATTCCAGAATCATCGCTCGGCCACAACGCCATCCAGCACCACAGAGGTTAAAAACAAGACAATTAGCTGGTAAAAAGTCTAAAACAACAACAAGAACAGGAAGATCGCTATCTGCAGACAATCTTTCCATTGCTCAACCACTGAAGGCTTTTAGGTGTGAAGGAAGTCCGTGCTCCCTTAGTCTTTATACAGGCGATCTGGTATCTCCTCTCAGGGGGCAGGAGAATATATTCTAAAAAAAAAAAGTGGGTGAGAGCAGTCATCTGAGATTTTATGGGCAATTGTACTCGATTACATAACCGGTCCTCACGCTCAGCAATTAAGGATTACGTCAACGCAGAATGGGATGGATCAGCCTGGATCAGCGTAGGGACTGAAGCAAATATTGGACTCATTACCACAGTGGGCTTCTAGCAGAGTCAAGAGTTCATGGGTCTCCTTGGGGTCACTACAAAAGGAATGTTTACTCCAGGATACGGGGGGAACAGGGAGAAATCCTAAACTGGCACCAGGTGGCTTAGTGACCGTATGAATGACGGAGCCACTGACAGCACGGTAAGTTTATCCCGGCTGACTCCGTAACCAGAGAGCCGCTGAACGACCAGGGAGCCCGCAGCTGACAGATTTACAGGCGGAAATGCGTTTTCCCTCGCTGAATTCCACCACACACACACACGGAAAAAAAAACAAACAAACACACGAGCTC